TGCCGAGTCAGGTTCATTGATGTAATTATCACTGAAACAGAAAAAATAAGTGTTAGAGCCATAGAACCGTAGTTTATTTGCCATTCCAAGGGTGTTCAAGTGTTTGAAAAGCAACTAGCTGATTTGGGGGGGGAGGTGTTATTTATAGAATATTCTTCTCAGGTCATAATAATTCTGTTAATTAACATTTACCTACACACAAGTTTAAATGTGAAAAATTTTCTACCTTATTTACTGAGTAGTTTGAACGAGGGTTTCACTCTGTTGGAATTTTCTTCTCTTTATCAGTTGACTTGAGATAGTTTGCCATAATGAATAGACTGTAAACTAAGTGTAAAAGCTTTCTGAATGCGTATTGAAATGGATACAAATGAGTATAAACTTGAGAAAGGGACAATTTAAAATGTCTTATGAGTAGTGCCTTTAAATATCAAGTCACACAGAAACTGAAAACTCAATAAAGTTGAGATGTGACTTGGAATTGATTTCTCATTGAGTATGTCAACTACATTCCCAATCAATGAATGGTAAATGCTAGGTATCGTACCAGGGGCTACAAAACAAGAAAATGAGTATGATATAGTCTCTGACTCTAGAAGTTCATAGGCTGGTTGGGAAAACAGGCAAGTAGCTATTACATTGTAATTGTACTTGAACGTGCTAAGTAATATTACAACACAGTACGTGAAGTCAGTGTCAGCACGGAGCAGATTCTGGCCACAGAAATTGAGGGCAGGAGGGGAAAAAAGGTGGGTTTTTTTGCGGTATGTGGGCCTCTCACTGTTGTGGCCTCTCCCATTGCGGAGCCGGACGCGCAGGCTCAGCGGCCGTGGCTCACGGGCCCAGCCGCCCCGCGGCATGTGGGATCTTCCCGGACCGGGGCACGAACCCATGTCCCCTGCATCGGCAGGCGGACTCTCAACCGCTGCGCCACCAGGGAAGCCCCGGAAAAAAGGTTTTATAAAGGAGGAAGGAGGTGGCATTGTTACACAGGCTCAAAGGATGTGTAAAAATGCAAGGTGTAGACAAAGCAGTGAAGGAGAGAGTGTGAAATCCCTGGGGACTGTTCCAAGAGCCAGAGGCTCTTTGGTGCCTGGAACACAGGGTGTTGTGTGGATGAGTTATGAGAGTTTAGGCTGTACAGGTAGCCCCAGACCATGTTGCAAAGGGACTTCATGGCCATGCTAAAGAATTTGTACTTTTTCCTGTAGGTAGTGGGAGTCTCGGAAGAATTTTCGTATAGAGGAAGATTCCAGCCATATTTACATTTTTGCACAGTGCTCAGAAAGCAGTGTAGAGTGTTAACTGTCTTTCCCACAAAGGGACTAAGCTCCGTAGGGCCGTGGCCCTGTTCACCCTTGTGTCTCTGTGTTCACCTCACCCAGTGCCTGAATTTGGAACTGAAGCTGGAGCTGAGCGAATACATAACTGGAGGTCAAACTTGAAAGCAAATTGGCCAGTCAGGTAGTATTATAATTATCAGAGTGAGGAAATACAAACATTTGGACAAAGAACTGGAAAGGAAAAGGAGACATTCAAATAGGTTCGACTTGATGATTAATTCATTGCACTGGTGTTAGAGAAGAGAAAGACATTTAAAAAGACCCTCTAACGTGGAAGTGATGCTATCATCCAAGTTGGAGGTTAACGCATATTGTTTGTGATAGAGTCAGTGATTCCGAGAAGGACAGGCTGTATCTGAGATGTCTGTGGGACATCAAAATTCAGAATATATTAAGCAATTATATATATACATATATTATATATATTATAAAATTTATGTATTATATATAATAAAATGTACCAATACATATAATCATATATATTATAAATTTTATATATAATATATAATAAAATGTTATTATATGTATAATTATATGTATGTATATATAAAACTCAAGTTACATTTTGTTTAGAAACATTTTCTTTGTGATCTCTGTGATTGCAGTTAAAGCCATAGGGCAAATGAAACCTCTCCCCAAAAGCAAATAAAGTGAGAAAAGAAGGGGAATGGAGATCAAATACTGAGTTCACCCATATTTAACGTAAAGGTACAGGAGAAGCACCAGTGAAAGAAACAAGGAGGGACGTTCCATAGAGACAAAAAGAAAACCAAACAGATCAGTTCACAGAAGACAAAAGAGACAGGACATGATGGACAGAGTCGAAAATTTCCAGAAGTATAGCAAGTTAAGTGCCAAATATATCCTTTGGATTGCACAGAGGATCTTAATTTCTGTGTAGTGGGTGTGGTCGTCAAGTTGTAGTGGGTGGGGAGATGAACAGAAACTATGGCACCAGTAAATGTAGATTATTCTTTCCAAGTCTTAACTAAGAAAGGAGGGTTAGGTGTAACTCCTGGGGAACACAAGGGCAGGGGCAGTTTCATATTGGAGGGCATTTCAGCCGC